GTCCCCATCTTTCTTATAGGCTCCCTTTAGGTGTTGAAAGGCCACAATAAGGTTGCCCCAGAGCCTTCTCTTCTCCGGGCTGAACAGGATGAACCCCAAGTCTCTCAGCCTTTCTTCATAGGAGAGGTGCTCCATCCTTCTGATCATTTTTGTGGCCCTCTTCTGGACCTGCTCCAAAAGGTCCATGCCTTTCCTGTGCTCAGGACTCCAGAGCTGGACACAGTACGGGGCCTTATGAGAGCAGAGTAGAGGGGCAGAATCACCTCCCTCAACCTGCTGGCCACGCTACTTTTGATGCAGCTCAGGATATGTTTGGCCTTCTGGGCTGCAAGCGCACATTGCCAGCTCATGTCCAGCTTTTCATCCACCAGTACCCTCAAGTCCTTCTCTGCAGGGCTGCTCTCAATCCCTTCACCCCCCAGCCTGTATTGATAGTGGGGGTTGCCCTGATTCACGTGCAGAACCTTGCACTTGGCCTTGTTGAACCTCATGATGTTCACATGGGTCCGCTTCTCGAGCTTGTCCAGGTCCCTCTGGATGGCATCCCAGCCTTCAGGTGTGTCAGCCACACCAGTCATCTTTGTGTTGTCTGCAAACTTGCTGAGGGTGCACTTGATCCCACTGTCTATGTTATCGTTATATTAAATAGTACTGGACCCAACACGGACCCCTGAGGGACCACCACTGGAAGGTACCATATTGCTCAGGCACTGGCAGTACTAAAAGACAGAGCACACTATCCTTTAACCCTTTGCAAGATGAGGTATCTTAACAATATGGAGCAGTCTCAAAGTGATGACCTGTCCACAGGGAGCTGGGAGGAGGGAGGTCAGGAATTGGGGTGATTAACCACTACCTTTTCATTGTACAGCTGCTGCTCAGGGTATTTTGGTGGTTGCATTAATTATCTTGCAAATACAAGGTAGCGAGGGAACAGCACAGAGGAAACTATTTTGAAGGAATTAAACATTAACAACATATCTTAAATACAACCGAGTAAGAGCAAAATAAGGGAAATACTGTCCTAATACAGTCTGTACCCAGTTTTAACAGGCAGGCAGGATTTGTTTACGGAATCCTCTGCTTCTTCCCTGCAGTAAAACATGTATTTAAAGGAAGTACTAGTAGGAATTTTGTCTAAGTACAGCTTGCAAAGTAAAGCCTCAAAGACAAGCCTGGTCCATCTGAGTTGCTACTCTGTAACATAATGATTTAATTTAAAACAGGAGGCAGCAGCTATCTGACTGTTCAACTGATGCCCAAGTTGTGTAGCTTTTGAGTCCATGCTACCCCAATGTCTGTGCTCCAGGGCTGTAGAACTCTGTGGTGAGAAGGCTGCTGGCTCAGACGTGGGATACCCTGGCTGATTCAATCACTTCTCTGTCAGCTTTTGCCCTGGGGTTCTCAAGGTACCCTAGCCATAAAGCCAAAATGCCCTGGACAGCAAAGCTATTCTTTAGAGGATCACTCACTATGTGGTTTTGTCCTTATGAAAATAAAGGGAAAACTGTGGAGAGGGACAACCTCACAGAATCACAGAATGTTGGGGATTGGAAGGGACCTCAAAAGATCATCTAGTCCAATCCCCCTACCAAAGCAGGAACCTAAACAAAATTACACAGGAAGGCGTCCAGGCGGGTCTTGAATGTCTCCAGAGAAGGAGACTCCACAACCTCCCTGGGCAGCCTGTTCCAGGGCTCTGTCACCCTCACCATAAAGAAGTTTCTTCTCAAGTTTAAGCGGAACCTCCTGTGTTCCAGCTTGCACCACTGCCCCTTGTCCTACCACTGGGCATCACTGAGAAGAGCCTGGCTCCGTCCTCATGACATTTGCCCTTAACATATTTGTAAACATTAATGAGGTCTCCCCTCAGTCTCTTCTTCTCCAAGCTAAAGAGACCCAGCTCCCTCAGCCTTTCCTCATAAGGGAGATGCTCCACTCCCTTAATCATCTTGGTGGTTCTGTGCTGGACTCTCTCAAGCAGTTCCCTGTCCTTCTTGAACTGTGGGGCCCAGAACTGGACACAATATTCCAGATGTGGCCTCACCAGGGCAGAGTAGAGGGGGAGGAGAACCTCTCTTGACCTACTAACCACACCCCTTCTAATGCACCCCAGGATGCCATTGGCCTTCCTGGCCACAAGGGCACAGTGCTGGCTCAACCTCCCCAGAACAGGTCTGCCTGTTCCGGCAGAGGCAGGAGAAGACAGCGCACAACCCCTCTGCACTTCTGCTGTTGGTCCAAGTAAGCCAGGGTTTGCCAACCAAATTAAATAAATAGCCCAACACCCCCTGCCTCCAAGAAACATCAAGTCTGATGAAGTGTCCAAAGAGTGTATTTTTCAAAATTTCAGTGGCTGAATCAGAAGATCAAAGATCATTGATTTTTTAATTTTTATTTTATTGCAGAGAATGAATTTTTTAAAAATCCCTTATCAGCTGCTTTTTGAATGCCTGAAAGGGGAAAATAAAATAAAGGGTGTTTATTCGTATTAGCAGTTGTATTCCCAAATGTATCACTTGCATTATTAATAATATTATTCTAGAGATGGATTGCCAGCAAATCATGGGTACAGAGACATGGCAATAAATTAATTGGGGAATTAAAAATGTACTGGAAATTAGGAAAGATTATGAGATGGAAGAGATCAGCCGAGCAAAGTGAAGGCTGAGAATGGCACATCTTTCTTGCACTAATATGGTAAAGAAATAAAGCACAGGCAGAGTGGGAATACTGATCTTCACATGCTTCTGACAACTTCTTGCCGTACTCGGTCAAATTTCTGTAAAATTGCTAATGTGAGCTATTACAGGATGAAAAGATATTTATGACAATATAAATGCATCTCTGGTGCAGAGCTCTGTCACTTCTGCAATGATAGTTTCTAAGTTGATAGAGTATTAGAGAGTGAGCTGGGCTTTGGGAACACTGGTGGCTAAAGTTCACCTGTGCTGTGGCTTTAGCCTGCATGTTCTGGTAGAGGACATGAGTCCAGGCAGGAGATCCAGGGCCCATAAACACTACATAATGCATACAGGGGAAAACAACCCAAACACCCACACAAATAGATGGGCTCTGGGCTGACATTACCTCTCAGAAATGAGACGTGGTATTATGGAAAATAGTGCTATAAAATCTCAGTTCCCAACTGTTTGATAGTCAAGAAAAAACAGATCTAATACGATGGATTATATAAGAAGAAAATTGAGACAAAATCAGCAAATGTTACTGTGCTTTTGTCATACCTGCTTCTGCTGTGGCTCTCAGAAAACAACAGAAGAGGTGACAAGAATTGCAAGGACGGGCAGCCAGAGTGATCAGAGGCATGAAGCGGTTGGCCCCTGTTCGCAGAACAGCCAAGTAGGATGGGGCTGCTGCAGGACAGGGAAGAGTTGGCTGCTGGGTGTGATGCTAAAGGTCTTTACAATTATAGGCAGTGAGGAAGGGGTAGCTGGCAGCTGACAAGCTGAGAGGTAGAAGGCTCGGGTGGAACTCCCAGGTGCTCAGTTCAAAACAGACCAGAGGAGACAGTTCTTCAGGTGCATAATTAAGCTGGAGAGCTCTCTCCCACATGTGGCTGGTGGATGCTAAAATTTACATGAGCTCAGGATGACGCTGGGCAGGTTTGCAGAGGAGAAATCCACTGAGAAGTGAAAACCAAACCAACCTGCCTGGGTCAGAAAGTTGCTGAGCTGCAAAACATTGAAGGAGGCCAGGAGAGAAACATGTTTTCTCCCTTTTCTTATGCTCTTCCCAAGGTGTCTTTCTGGCTACTTGCTGCTAGTGGCTTCTCCAGTTTAAGAAAGCCTTTAAAGGTGTTCCAAGGATGGGAAGGGCTGAAGGAAAACAGAAATCAAGAGAAACCACCTGCTCATGAAGGATAACAAATGCAAATAGGGCAGAGGTGTGAGGGTCACACAACCCAAAGCTGAAGAGTCGGGGGCATAGGGACAGCCAGCAGCATGCTGGGCAGCACCCGCTCCCTCCCAGGCATCCAGGGGGAAGGGGTGCTGCCAGGTGGGGACATGGGAGGACATGCAAATGGAAAGTGGTGGGGACACAGGAGGACATGCACATAGAAACTGTCCCCGTGGCATCCCTTGACTGCAGTGATGCCAGGAGTTTTTGGCGCATGCTCTTTGCTGGGGATCCTTGGGTGGGAAGCAGAGGTAGAGGGGACAGACTCAGGAGGGACTCCCAGTGCCGATGGGATTAAAACATTTTACATTACAGTCTATAGGCTTTCTGGAAAAGCTGACTGAAAGAGTTTTTAATTTTCTTTGCAGTTTTGTACTAATTTGTAATAAATCAGTCTCCCCAGCAAAGTTTTATACTCCATGCCATACCATGTGTGAAGTTAGGACAGAACTCAAGAAGGAAAAACAGAGGTCAAGGGACTACATAGTCCCTGTCATACAGCAGTGCAGGCCATGTATACCTTGCTCCCAATTTTTGGCAATGTATTTAAAAATTGATGCCTATTCAGCAATCATTCTTCCTTCAGAAAACAGTAACCTATTGAGCCATAAGATTTTTAGGCCTCCGAGATCCACTCTTCCCAAAGTGGAGATGACCTCAGAGGCGGTATTTGTCTTGAGCAAATTTGACATGCACTTTGCTTGGCTAAATCCCAAATTAGTAGCCTTCTGGAGAGGGAGGGGGCACTCAATGAGCTCGCTGGGGAAAGAGCGCTAAGTGAACTCCATTCCCACTCATTAAGACCTGAAGGAACAGGGGTACCCTTTGGTTTCTCTCCTTTCCTTCAGTCACCCCCAACCCTAGCTGGAGCAGCTGCTGGTTAGCGTGTAAAACACCCAAGTTACCGGTTTCCCCGAGGGACGGGTTCTCTGACTTCAGGCACCTCAGCTGCACTGGCTGCAAGAGCAGTGAGAGCCCTGCCTGACTCCAGCATTGCCAGGGCGTTGGTGCCACCCAGCAAAAGGCCTGATCCCCTGCACAGGGCTCTCTGTGCCAGAAATGTTTAGCTGTGAATGAGACTTATATTCTTTCCAGCGGGATGTTGCTAAAAGCAGTTGGAAAGCTGCCTCCTTGAATATCTGATTTTTACCCCAACAATGTCTCTTGACATTTCCACAGCTTTAAAAATTACTTTTCCCCTCTCCATCGTTACTTTTCTGTGCGTTGTTTTTTCTGTGGCAGTCTTTTTCTCCTCATTGGTTTTGCTTCTGTACAGGACTTTGTATAATTTTTTCCTTCCAGTTCTTCCATTTCAAAGTTTTCCCTTTATTTCAAACTTCCTAGTTGCTATGTGACTCTGCTGCGTGGTTTCTAGGTCTTCTTTTGCTTTACAGCATCCTTTTTCTCTTAGGCACTTTCCCTTGAATAGCTCTATGGTGGTGATAGCATGAAAAAATGCTGTATCCCTCTGTGTCTCTATATGGAATTCTAAAATATCAGTGAGAGAAAGAGAGACAAAGCCAGCATTTTTAATATAAAATAAAGGATATTTACTTATAGAATATTTATTTTTTTAAATTTCCTAATAGCACAAAGAGAAACTTCACCATTTTATAAAAAAAATTGCTTATTTTTCTTCATATGTTCTAGTCATACCACAAGCTTTCCACAAAAAGAACAAGCATTTATTTTTGTGCAGAGTGCCCAGAACAGCTACTATATGACCGTTGTCCTGCCGGGATTTGGTGCTGAGAAGGTGCAGCCTGATGTTTAGATGCAGAGTGCTCCTAGTTTTACTGGGGGCTATTGAGAGTGGCAGGGGCTGCAGGTCTCTGAAGCGAGATGGGTTTATGCTTTGACTCACCATCAGAAAGTGGTATAGCATTGTATATCTCAATGTTTGGGAGAGTACATCTCTTGAAGTCCTCTCAAAGTGATCGTTTTCAACTCAAACATTCAATTCCTGGAACAGTTACACATGCGTGGCACTGGGTGTGATCTGAAGCCCACTGAGACCAGCAAGCTCCTTTCTGCTGGTACTCAGTCAGGCTGTAACTGGATTTAAAAAGTAACCTACATCTTTTGCTCCATATCTCAGGCTCTCTTTGCATAACTACCCATAGGTGGTCTAAATTTGCCACTGTAGCATGAAAACCTGAATCCATGAGCAGCAGCAGGTCTAGCTATTTAAACTGCTTTTTGTCCTGATTTCAGAATTGTGAGCAAGGCTTTCACTTACCAGTTTTGTCAGCAGACCTAAGCTGGTGAATATTTTCTTTGATGACAGTTGAGTTTCTGGTTCATGGCTATGCCACCAGGAGCTATGGTAGGGACCAGGAAAAGATTGCTTTAGTGGATATTCCTTATTTTGCTTACTGACTCGGGTTTGCTAGCCTGGCAGAAGTGGATTTTGCTTTCCAGTATAGTTGTGTTTCAACTGAGAGGCCTTTTCAAACTTGGAAGCTTTGCCAGTAGATTTCAGCCCTTTTTTAATTTCAGATGCAGGCAGATACAGAGGGGGTTTCTACAGCTGTGTCTTGCCCTGATGCTGTTTCTTTGCAGAAGCAGGGTCATGCCAGTCAGCCAACATCGCCAAAGGGTCACTAGGAAAAACAATAGGACTGCCAGTGAGTCCTCGGATCTCACTTCTGTCACCCAAAGCAAGCTGGCAGGTGTGTAAGTATCTGCTTAATCACTCAGGAAAGGTGGAAACTCCTTCTGAAGACAGTATCAGACTTTTTTTCATCTTTTTTCCTTTCCTTATGATCACTCTTTACTTCTTATGTAAACATTCATGGAATTGGCACTTAAATTAGTGGAGCAATATTGCTTTGAAGCAGTTGCTGTTCATGCAGAAGGGGGGAGTGGGTTTTGGGTGTGAGGCTGGGATGTCCAATAGGCACATGAAGAGTGCAGCCCATCGCTCAGGGCAGGGGACCCAGTGGCATATGGCTGGCCACTTACTTGCTGAATGGGACACCTTTGCCTTTGGACAAAACTGTGGTTGCTGAGACAAACTCCATTTAAACTGTGTTTAAAGTGGGCTTTATTAATAGAGAATTTTTAATATAGCACTGGGAAGGTAACGTGTGCTGTGTGCTGCCCGCTTCTGTCAGCCTTTGGGATGGAGGTTGGGTTTTCCTCAGAGTGCAGAAGTGCAAGAAACTATTGTGATTTCTGGAATTTGAGCAGATCAGCCAGGCAGAGTGGACCTGGGATGGAGGAGCTGGGCAGCAGTGGACCACGTACAAAGCAGAAACGCAGTGCAGGACCTGAGGCCAGTGGTCAGCTGTGGCTGGTTCTGCTTTTAGCACTGGGAAGAGGGATTATTTCAGCATAACAGAGTTCCCTCTGATTCTGCCACGCAGCACCCCAGCAAAGGGTACAGCGATTCATCCACTAAGTGGATGTAGCAAAAGCACTAGTGATTCACTGTTGTTTGTAATACGGGTACCTTGCATTATGCCTGATTTTTTAATTGTGGTATTCTAAGAAAACTTTCTGTAATTAAGAGCATATAGTGTTAAAGTGCCTCCTGAATCAAACTGTTTTCTCATACAGCAGTTTCTCTCAAGGTGGAGATAATGTTCTCAAAGAGAGCTGGATGGGAAAACTGGAGGTCTCTTGGTCATATCTTCTAAAAGCATCAGACTTTCTTTCTGCTAGATGCAAACTGTCTGAGATGCAGGGAGATAGGGGGTTGTTTCTCAGTTACTCATAGTGGTTAATACCAAAGCCCTTGATCACATCAGTGTTTTGAGCTACTGGTTTTACAGCCAGGTGCTGCTGCCATGAGTTAGAGTTTGGTAAATGAGACCTTTATATATTTTGCAAAATATTAACAGGTTTACTCTCCCTGCACACTCTTCATTCATTGCTACATAACAACGAAGAGCGATTTAGCTCCCTGGCAGTGTATTTTAGTAAGACAGCAAATTGTCTGTGTTTACTTACACTATACAATTCAGTAGTTGTACTGCAAATCTTGGCCAAGTTCCTGAATAGTTGGGGCCTAAAAAGAAGTACTTAAATTCATGTCTGTGTTCCTAAATAGAAGGTGTGGTTTGTCAAGTATTGAGTCCATCCTGACTCTTGCAGACTTTTTGGAAGCCAATAGGCTATCAGCATTTTGAAAATCAGGCTTGCTACTTATTCCCACACTTGTATGGGAAAGCCAAAGTATGTTTTAGACTCCTTTTAATATTTGTCTTTGTAGTATTACAGTGCCTGTTTTATTCCCCCCATTGCAATAATTCCTAGTGGAGCTTATTCATGTTGACAAACTATCAGTTTGGATTGATTAAAATGTCCAGTAGAAAAGTTGCCAGCAAGTTTGCTCTGTGAAATCTTTGCTGGAAGATAAAGTGATGCACAGAGTAAGAGTATTTCTCGCAAGTCACTGGTTTTTTGTGTTTGTTTTTTTTGGTGGGTGGGTTTTTTTCCCCCATAAAAGGGTCGGCTGTAAATACGATATTTTATATAACGTATGTTTCACTGCCTGTGCCTGACAACAAACCTGAGTGAACTAGGGTTCATCAGAAAGGCTGATTTTGCCCTCAATATTACTGGAAACTCTTCAGTGCCTCTTGGTGAGGTTTTCCTCTCATGTGTCAATGCAATAAGGTTTCCTTTCCTTTCTCTAGATAATTTCAAGGAGGGTCTGATTCATTACTTCAGGGGCTGAGCTAAATTCTTTCCTCTGGATCGTTTTAAAAGAAATAATTTAAGCCTCAAATACCCGTGCTGGTTGCAGTAGCAGATGTGTGAAAGAGTGGGCATTTGCTTTGCTTTGTGCTGCTCATCCTCAAGAAGAGGAGGCTCTCCTTCATCTGTGGGCTCAGAAGCACAGCAGAAGGACTTTTTGACCTTTGATAAAAAAATTACAAAACCATTCTTGTGGAAGCACAGCATGCAAGCGTTTTGGGATGCTTCTGGAATATATTACTGGGGATAACTTACTCTTTCTTCTCAAAAGAAAATCATACCAATGCCTTTAGGGAAAAACATGTCTTGTGTGACGAGGGGAAATGGAATAAATTATTCTTGGTAATATGTAAAAGTTGTTAAATTCAGATGGCCCTGGAATGGGAGGATTTAACCTATGGTAAATCAGCAGAGTGATCTGGCACAATTGTAAAGGCGACTTTGAAAGAGTTTCTCATTTTGGCCTTAGAGATCTTTTATTTCTTCTATTCAGGTGCCCCAATGGATCAAAATTTGCAGCATTTTCAGTAATCAGTATGCTTTTTTTTTTTTCTGAAATGGGGGGCCACTCCTGAGAAAATAGTTTTGTTTTGTAAACATTATTTGGCTGAGACTGACTGCATGTTTCCATTCCCCTTGCAGAGGCACAGCCATAGCTGGAATTGTTTTCGGTATAGTATTTATAATGGGAGTGATTGCTGGTCTTGCCATCTGTATCTGCATGTGCATGAAGAACAACCGCGGGACTCGAGTAGGGGTCATCCGAACTACACACATCAACACTATCAGCACATACCCAGGTAAGAAAGTGAAGTGACACCCATGCAAGAGTGCCGGCGTTCATGGTAGGAGTGCATCTTTGGATAGTTACAGCTCTGCAGTGAAGGGGGGATGTGGATACAGCAGGTAGCTCTTCTCAGTCCAGAGGGGAATGGCACAGCTCCCTGCTGAGAAATGCAAGACAGCTCAGCATGTGCAGTGTTCAATCAGTGTAGCACTCTGAGCTAATTTATTCAGCTGCTGGGTGGGCTAATGAGGTCTGGCTGGGTGCCATACTCACACAGCTGTATGGCTTGTGGTGCCCACAGTCCCACATTGAGACCTTGCTCAGGGCGGGGCTGCATTGTGCAGGATAGACCTTCTCCCTGTGCCAGAAGCTCTCTGGCAAGGGATCAGTTGTTCTTCTTTTGTGTTCTGGTTCTTGTATTTGCTTTTGTTCACGTGCAGTCAGCTCCCTTTCATTATTTGATATAGTGGGGGCCTGGCATGCCACAGAGAGGAGAAAATCTGGACAATAAAGTCTGTGGATCATAGCCCAAAGGCTTCAAGTGGTGCCATGTGGACTCTAATGCTGCTAATGAGCTGGCTGGTACTCAACCAGAGTTCACACGCCCTGTTGGGTGCTGCAGGATCCCAGATGACTTCTACAAAGGGTCTGCTCCAGTGCAGTTGTGCCCTGGTAACTGGTAGGTACATCAGGCTGTACCTGAGCTAGGTCTGTGCAGAGGCACTCTGCACCACGCTTGTCAACATGTGCCTGTCTAGGATTGGGGTACAGGAGCACCAAAGCGGGATCTGCACCGAGAGAGCTGAGGTCAACAAGGCTCATTTGTCTGGGCTCCCCACCACATGAAAGCGGCCACATTGTAGAATGGCAAAGCTGACCCTGGAAGGCTGTAGCCTTTTCCTCCCCAAGTCTGCTCCTACCATTACTCACCCCTGTCTCTCCATCTCCAGACAGTTTAACTCTGCACACAACCTGTTCCTGGTGCAAACATTAGTTCAAGCAGTTCTTCCTCTCAGCAGCAGCGGTGCCTGGAGGACAAGGAAGCTCTGAAATTATTTCTGTGTTCCCCATTGTCATGAACACTTCTGCAGTTATGACTGACCTGGCTTTTGCTGCAGGGTTTGTGACCAACCCTCTCCCCTGTCATTACCTATTTTGGACAGGAACAGCAAGCAAGGGGATGTCCTTCCTTTGGCATTAGCCACAGTGGTAGCCGGGTTTTCAGAGAGCGGGGAGTGCTTTTTCTGGCACACTGGGATTCGAGTCTCTTCCCCCCCCCATCACAAACATCCTAGGTTTCTGTTTCCTCTCTATTCAAGTGTTATTTCACTGCCAGTCTGCTTGAGGCGTCTAGGGAAGGGATAGTAAAGCATCCATGGCGACATGAACAGAGACATGAGCAGACTCTGGACCTTAAAATATGTAGAGACTACTCTAATGGGGACTCTGATATGGAACCTTCAGTTCCTAGCATGCTATCATTCTGCAGCATTTACGGTCTTTTTGATCACTTAATTAATCCTTCTTCTCTAAGATTAGTACAAGTAGTTTTCAGCTCTTTGTGAATATTTTTGTTGTTTCCTAAATGCCTGACCCAGTTTACAAATGCTGGGGTCTCCTCAGATGTCTCCATTGGGGTGAACAAGGCAAAAGCTCTGTTCTCCCTCAGCCCAAGTCCTGGGAATGTCCTGGGCAGATGTCCAGTGTTTGCCCTGAGAGCTGTGATGCTGCTGTGTTTGGTATGGCATGTCACACATATGCTGGGGATCCAGAGGGTGTTTGAGAGGTCTGTGGAGATCAGCGATAGCCCTACCTGCCCTGTCATTTTGGGATGACAGAAATTCATGTAGCTGCTGATGGGGGTGGAAGGGAATGAATCCAATAAAAACTCAACCCTCCTCCTCTGAAAAAGTTGAGCTCTACCACATCATCGTGGTATCATCTGCCATATGGCCACTCAAACACTGTTACCAGCACAACATGTTGGCGGGCACATGGCTAAGCAGTGAAGCAAAAGGTCAATAAGCACTGACATAAAGTGACTGTGTAATGACAGTCTGGAAAAAAAGTGAGTGCATTGCCAGGAGACTTCACATCTGTTGTATGGAAGTCTGAATGTCAACTAGAAAATACTTGAGGGCCTGCATCTGAAAAAAAGAGATTTTTAACTATGTCTTCTTTTTTCTCCCGTTCAGTGGCTCCTCCACCATACAGTTATGAATATGAAATGGAGTACCAAGCTGACCTACCTCCACCTTACACTCCAGCTCCACAGACTTCGATACAGTATCCCCCACCCCCTCCTTACCCTGGATATTCAGGGAAATAATTACATGGCTTCACATGGATATTAACTGCCTGTTGAAACAGCCAGCACCATCAGGACAATTATTATCAGCTCAGGGAGAAATAGGATAAGGAGGTCTGCATCAAAACATATGGCCAGGTGTTGAAATAACCTGGGAGGGTTGTCGTGGCTCTGGATGAAGAAAAATACTGTCCACTCTCAACCATCACATTTCATGATTAAAGAACGCATGACCAAAGAAACAGTTCCTGTAAGTCAGTGCCTGATGAATAGTACTTAGCATCAGTGCTTACCCTCAGCCACAGCCACAGCCTGTTACAGCGCATGGGAGTGGGGGTCTTCCCAGGTAAGAACATACAAGCGGTGCAAATGATTGAACAAACTGTTTTGAAAGCACAAGAGGCAGCTGCTGGAGCTTACTTTGTGGGGGGAAATCCAACTGTTGTCTTCAAGCATGTTACGCCTTTTCTTGAAATTAGGGAAATATGGAAGAACAAGGAAGGCTGAAGCTATTTTCAGTTTCTACTTCAGGCTGATAATCAGCTGTGCATATTCATCTGATAAGCATGTTATCAAGAGGAATGTTGTGGGAGTTATTCAGTAACCAAAAAATGATGGATATTATTTTTTGGCCAACTGCAGGTTGCTTTAAGTGCCTACTTTTAAACAGTTCGAGACTAGGTTGTGGCCTGAAATGTAGACATAAAGAGCATTTTTATATGTGAAGTACACTAATTTATAGCTGATTTACTTTTACCTGGACTTAAGTATTTTATACATTGGACATATACTGCAATGCCATTTTTATCAGCAAATGATACTTCATTTTAAAAAATGCTGAGTCGGGAAAACTCACAAGTGGGAGAAGAAATTAAAAAAAATATTAAAACATCATAGATTTGTCTTCAACTGGATTGCATAAAGACTTTTTTTTTAATCATATTGTTTACCAGTAATAATGATATTCAGCCTAACCAAAGAGATGAGCAGAGAGACTGTGAGTGTCAGATTACTTCTGAATGTTGTCTTGGGCATTTTAAAACTGTTAAGTCACCAAATGACACTTTTTGTGATTGTCACACATACTGTTCAAAATTACTTAATCTTTACTATGTAAAGTATAGACATTCATGATTTAAAATGTTCCATATACTTATGGGGCTGACTATAATTCAGCATCAGCTATTTGACTTCAGAATAGAGTATCCCATTATCTAAAGCATCATCCTTCAGTGGTAAGACTAGTATTTTTATCAGTTTCGTATTTGAACCACAAAGAAAGTGGTTCTCTTTGGGGATTTAAAAGTGCTGAACACCCTTAGTTTGAGTTGGGTAGCTGGTCAGTTTGAGAATGCTACAGCAAAAATAGCAGAAGGTGACAAAAAGACAGCACCTAGAGTTCAGGACACAGCATCACACACTTCCCACTTCAGTCTCCCTCCTGCAGGCTTCAGCTGTTTAAAGTCAGCTGCCTTTGCCAGCAGCAGGCCAGCTCGCCTCTGCCAGGGAACTGTCTCCATATCATCAGGTCCATTTCAGAGGGAGGGACTACAGCTTACAGCTGATTCCTGCAGATCAGAATCCATTTAAATGTTTTCCCGTGTAGCCCTCATCTTCTTTCCAGGTTTATCAGTGCATTAATGAATAAAAAAACAGCTTGCAAAAGACAGCTTGCAAAAGCTGGTACCATATCCAAGTGAGGTCAACTGACAACCTCTCATCACCACCTAAGTCTGATATTTTTGGCATTCAGTCCTGATTCAGGGAAGAATTCAAGCAACCTTTTAACTCTGAGCACAAAAGTTATTCAGAGGCTTTCTTGTAAACAAGGTCTTATTGATTTTTCTTGCTTAGATTTTTTAATTGTATTTGTCCTTTCCAGGCTGACTAAGTTTATCCTCTTGAAACTCCACTGGAAAGAGCAAATGGCCTCAGTCCTTGCCACTGTAAGTGCAGATATGTGTTGTGGCCTTTGGCCAACCTGGGCCAACAGGCCCTTTAGCTATCTAGGCATCTGTAACCCAGTCAGAGGAAAACTGAGCTGTGTCACAGGTTTTGGTTGCTGCTGGTTCCTTGGAGTCTTATATAGGGAAGGAACAATTCATACTCATTTCTGTCCTGAACTAGATTATCTTTACAATTACTTCTGCTCTGGGCTGTGTCCTGCGACATTTCAGTGGGTACCATGACCTCTCAAGAGACAGATGTTCCTCAACTGAAATCCTCCCATGAAGGGCAACTTTCTGCATGTGGTGTTTTGGTGGTCCCTACTCAAAACCATCTGCTGGGGTATCGACGTGCCTGCCAACGTGGTGGCCAGCATGAAGAACAGAATAAGCATAGTTTTCTCTGTGGGAAATCCTGTTCCTGCCACATCATTCTACACTAGTACCTCAGCACTTTCCAGTTGATCACACCAGATAATATTTCTGTGCCAACAAGTTACCTATAGATAAAGACTATTGTAATTTTTCCCATTCTTGTGTTTTGTTTTTGTGCTGAACGTGCAGACAGAAAAATCAAAGAGCAGTTTGTATTTGATGAATCCAGTCTCCTGAAAAACACAGAGAAAGAAAACTATCCTATAGATAGTAAATCTTCCCTTAGAGGAAGAATTTCTCCAGCCATGACATTTGTCAGAACAAGTTAAAAAGCAGATTTCATAAATAAAAAGGCATTTTTGGAAAATAACTGAAAGTTTTTGATCACAGAGTCCTCTGTTTTTCAGCTTTTCAATTGTGTGTTGCCACTGATGGTATTGCATAAAGGCCATAGTAACTGAAGTACCTACAATATAAACATGGCTTATTCCAGGGGAAAAAGATGGAAATAGGAAATTGAGAATTCTATAGTGATAGAGAGGTATTTGTTTGCTATTAAAATACTAGTGAGGATGTTGATTTTAGTATGTTAATTAACGTCTGATCCACATATATTGGGCCACACCAGACAATGACTTCTATCTCAAAGGACACCACATCTCTTGTCCTTGCTAAGGGAGCAAAACATCAAGGTGTTGGCCTTCCAGTAAACCAGGTAAAACTAGTACAGAGTACTCTTTTCAGAAAGAGGTGATGATTGCATTGAAAATAAGTAAGCAAACTGAGACAGCCAAAGATGAAGAAGGAGTCAGAAAGATTTATAAACATAAAGGAATGGAATAAAGAAGTTGCCACATAAATAAATGGGAGTATTTGCTAATACTGAAGTTTTATTAGTAGAATTCAGTTGAAAAAGTTGAAGCATTCTGATACTTCAAGTGTTATTTTCTTTCTGTGGAAACATGTAATTTGTTCAATACCTCCATATTCAAAGTTCCTGCAGTGCAGATACTGGTAGTTATTTATTCTGTTTCACATAAATAGCTTGCAGATGAGTGTGTTAGTACAAACAGTTTTTACTTAGTCACACCAACTTATTTCATCTCATGCCCTATGTCATATTTTTCTTACTTTGCAATATCCCTATGTCATATTGCAAAGTAAGAAAAAACTACAAAAATGTAACCTATGGCTGGGAAGGGCCAAGCAATCTTTTTTCTTTTCTCGCTTGGTAGTGGACAATACTGCTAATTTGGTCAGTGAATGTAGTGTTGCCCTGTGTAGTTTGTATACTTGGACCAGATGCAACTGATTTTCTCGTGGTCTTGGGTTGCTCTGCCTTTGGCTCATGATTTCTAGGCTGAACTGAGGAGGCAGGGCGGGAAGGTCACCATGTCAGGAGTGCAGGACCTGGTCCCGTGAGCCTGGTCCAGTAGATGATGGCAGAGCAGTGGATGTGGTCTA